GGATGAGACAGCCTGGTTATCCGACATTTAACTGTGCAACACAACCTGACCTCAGGCTGAGCGATAAGCATTTCTTGTTTTAGGAAAAACAAATATAACTTTCAGTTAATGTTTCCAAAGARTTGTGAAAGACGGTAATAAAGGAAAGAAAAAGGCATCTGAGGTGGGTTGGGGGGGTAATCACAACTTTAAAATTGAGTGCCTGGGCCCCCTGCACAGGCTGTAGGTCTGTCTGCTTGACCTTAGGTGAGATCTTCCTTTTAACATTGTTGTGGTTTTAACCAAATCCAAAGACAGAAACAACAGCTAGGAATTCTGAATGAAGAATCACAGTGTAACAAAAACCCAGAGAATAATAACTGCATGCAGCKAACAGGAAAAACGTCCATTTGATAAAACAAACCATTGACATTCTTTGTTGCATCAATCCTTCCAAAGCTGAAAACTCAGGATACTGCAACCACTCAGGCRAAACCCAACTGTTAAAAAGAGTTTTGCCTGTTAAGAAACTGCTCGTCTTGATCTTCAGCCTGAACTTGTCTGGGCATTTCTCTGGGTTTCCTGAAATACCAGAAACAATACAGTAATAACAAGTTTCCTTTGAGGGATGAAAAAGAAACCTGGACACACCCTTTATTCAAACAAGATATTTATTTCAATAAATAATAARGAGTGACTGGTTTGATGAATCCCCCCAAGTCATAATGACAGGCAGGAGGCATCTGAAGGCACTGTGTACTTTTAGTGATGGGGTGTGGGGAGAAGAAAGCATTTTCAGCAAATTCTCTRTTTCACTTTAGTTACCAGCTGTAAATTATGCAAGAATAAGTCACCTGCACTAACTCTCCAAATTATTACTAGTCACTCAGCAGCTCTGACATCCACCCCAGAGGAACACATCAACCTCCTACTGACTGCAAGTGAATGAGGAAGTAAGTAGGCACTTATCTCTTCTTTCGTCTTTCTCTCAGTCAAGACTGATGATCATCTCACAAAATTAAAGGAAAAAAATAAGCCATTAGATGGAGAAAGAGATAGAAAAAAGCAAGAAAAAGGGGTCAAAAGAGGTATGGAAACCTGATAGAGACATGAAAAGAAGCAGACTAAAAGCAGTTCCTGTCGAACTTTTAAAACATTTATGATCCACCTTCATAAGTAGTGCAAATTTTGTTCTTGAGAACGACAGGGCTGACATGGTTAATCTTGTTTTCACATATCCCTTTAACTAATTAAAAAATCAGAAGCTCTACTTCAGAGCTCAGTATTTTTAATATGCTCAGATAATGCAATTAACTCGAGAAGAAACGCATTTCGGTAAAGGCTGCACCTTGTCTGCACTGTGAGATTATGCTCATATTAATTTTCTGTGGGACAAAAACCACCATATTTTAATCCAGTGRAAAGCTGTGCCTTTGAAACAGAACATGATCATCTATTTATTTCTCCTAGAGASAACACGTGCAAAGCTGTGCTAATATTTAAATGTTTGTGAGACAAAGGTGACTCAGTTTCACCAAAACGGGTGTAAGACTACCTTTGCTGACTGATGATTAATATTTTCACATCTACGTCTAGATACAGAGCTAACAGCTTGAAAGAAAAGGCTTGCTACAGGTTCCTTCCTCTAGTGAACACTGAAGAAAATAATTTGCAGGGTAATAACTCAGACACTCTTCAGACACTGTATGACTCCAGTTTTAGAGCTTCATTAAGATAATTTAAGTATTATCTTTTAATTTAAGTATTGGATAAATGTAAATTCAATACTTGCTTTTGCAGGTCCATCAAAGCTGAGAAGTACCAAAGAGGAGAGGAACTGTAGTGTCACATTTGTGTCTTAGGTGTCTCAGAAAGCTTCAGTAGATCAGCATACAAAAAAACACTACATGCTTGTCTAGGAATGAATTGTACTCTTTTATCTGTCTACAAAATTCATGGAATGTCCTGAACTTAAATAAAATCTGCATGTAAGTGGTCTCATCTGGAGTCACCAATTCACAAAAGTAACACCAGTGTTCCTGCTAACACAAATCAATTAATCCATTAATTTGTATTTAACAGCTTCCCCTTAGTGCATGGAACATAAATACCCCAAAGACAAATTGAGTTACTCCTTGGTGTATTGCAAGAGTCCCTGCAGATGGTTATAATGATGAATGAATCACAGTGAAACCTAAACACTGGAAGAAACCTGAAAGGAAAGCAATAGTTTATCATCTGGAGTCTTCTTTACGCTAATTTTATATTTGCACACACGATCTAGTATTTTGCCTCTGACCAATTTTCTAAGCTTTGGATATACTCCTCAACAGATGTTTGTACTCATACTGACATTCAGAGTGCTGTCTTCTGAAGAGCTGAGGAGATCAGCATGATATTTAAAACATATTTCCCTTTGGRCCTAGTTGTTTTGTAATTGCAAACCTCCTAAATAAAGAGCAAAAGCTGCGCAGCCCARTTTGAAACATTAGGAGTACTCACACTGCCAGCTCTCATACCTCGCTTTTTAGGTTTTCCTTTCTAAACCCAGGTCAAATGCAGAAAATGCATAAAGATTAGTTTTTAATTGCTCAGATGTTTTCAGTGCCTGCAAAATATTTTCAACTCTCCATCATCCTATGAAAGAACTTTGATGGCTAAGGTCTGTATCTCCTTGGCTGGAGGGAAGATATTTACCTGTCTGTAGATGCTYGGGAAGAGGGAAGGGTTGCAAAGAGGGGACGTGGGGTCAGAAACAGCTGAAAGTGTCCAAAAGGACATTTAACAGGCTGAATGGATGTAGCAGAGCTTCTTCACAGGSCTCCTTTTGCTTGCATAAAAATGCATATCGAAACCCAAAGCTATAGCAAGACTGTTGAAAAAAATGACTTAGAGAAGCTCTAATCTCATCTAAGAATTCACATGTCTTTTAAAACATAAGCAGCATCATGAATTTATGCCTACAGAGCTATTTCCACATCCATTCTGCAAAGATTTGCCTGAATGTAGAGACTCTAGGTACGCTGGTGGGAAAGTTTACAGCGAGCTGCAGACCACAAAAACCATTACAGATGGCATGTCTGCCTAAGCTATAAAACTGGTTTAATCAGATATGACCAGAATCTGCTAATTGTGCAGTTCATTACTGAGAATGCAAATTATAGTTCACATGCATCAGACATTACCAATCAGATCTGAAAATGGGTGTGGGAATACTTTAAAAAAATTAATTATGTGAACTTGATTGCATAATACACAGGTATTCTGTGCATATACACGGAATAACTGCAGGATAAACGACATGAAGATRCCTTCAGGCTGATCTGTAAGGAGCCAGAATTTCAATCAACATCCAAGCTTCACTTTTCACTTCAAAAAACAATATATTGATTTATCCCTGTTTCTGAGAAGATACTTGGATTAGAAATGTCAAAACAATATCAATAAAAATTACTCAAAAATATGCTAATGAAATATTAACCACCTGTTTGTTACTGTCAAGTGCAGACAGACTGCTTCASGTGAACACAACTCATTACTTAGTTATGAAACAGATCACAGAACCATAGAATGGCTTGGGTTGTAAGRGACCTTTTAAAGAGCATTTAATTCCAACTCTCCCTGCCATGTGCAGGRACCTTCCACSAGATCAGATTGGTCAGGGCCCCATCCAACMTGGCCTTGAACATTTCCAGGGATGATGCATACACAACTTCTCTGSGYAACCTGTTCCAGTRCCTCACCACCCTCAGAGTGAAGAAAGGAATAAATAAYATTAAAAAAAAAATCCCACACRTGAAGAGAGATGTTCCTTATGCCTCAAATTGAGCTCTGTGCAAGGCTTAGATATCAGCATGTCACTGCCCACTCTTAGTGCAGGTTGTTTCAAAATGTAATACCTCCCCCACGAGAACAATAATTACCTTTACCTTCCTTTGTGTGCAAGCCTTTAATACCTCACTTGATCTTCTCTTGCCAGATGAGTGATAAGCCTATCATGCTGATAAATGAAAGGCAATCAACCCTCCTTACTACTAAGACATCCTAAGAGATCTCATCTTTGGAGATCCACATACWTTTCTGAGCCAAGCAGCGAGGTGGAAAACCTATAGAGGCTCTGTGCAGCTCACGTCTTCATCCCATTTTTCCCTTGAATCCATTCTGCTTGTTAAGCCCAGTACAGCACATTTAGCCTCAGMTGACTGAAAGGTTACACAGCCCACTCCCAGTAGGCAAAATTTTATGAACTGTCAATTCAGGAGTTTATTCCTACACTGTAGAACTCCTTGCAGCTTTGAATTTAAATTTGACTCCTGAAAAAGGGCACATGACTTGAAAATCAGTTTGACTCTTCAAGAAAGTGCAGATAGAAGTTTCAGTGACAACTGGTTGGGAAAACCATTGTGAGGAAGGCCTCAGGTTCTCCCTGGGGAGAATCCTGTTGCCRTTATGATTGTTTTAAGTGTACAGCTACAGCAGATTATTTGCTTATCTTCCTGTGCAAATCTCTTACAAGAGTGCAGTCTGGCTGCATGCATTTAATATCTGTAAGTATTAAAGCCTGTACATCAGTAAGGTGGCTGATACGAGCCAYAATAAAGGTTATCTCCTGTCTGAGMCATGGAACACCTAGGAAAAGAGCACACAGGATCACTGACTCCAATTTCTCATCTYTGTGAGTCACCTTTGCCAGTTTGTGAGGAAGCTCTTTCCCCACACAAGAAGGGAACAGGGCTGATATAGAACTATAGACTTGCTATTCCCAAACTGTGATAGTCCAGCTCTGCAGGTCTGAAGGGACAGAGCACAAGCCCTCCTGGCCTCAGCAGCCCTTCCACTGCACAGCATGGCAGCACCCTCAGCCTTGGCAAAGCTACACAGCGTGAGGGACAATGATATCCCACACAGAGAAGGACACACTTGAGTACAAAAAGAGGAGGAGAGCACAAAGGCTGACATTTCCTGCATTTAGCTAAGCTGGTTTTACTCACRCATTGGCCATGGCCTTGTCTCTTACATACCATGCACTGTTGAAGAGCTCTGGATGCTAAGGTAGCTGGACTCGCATTTCTGTGATTCTATGTCCARGTCTCCAATTTTCAAGATCAGGCGTTTCCCTGGAGGCACTTGGATTTTCTTTTCACAAAGAGTGTAGTTTGGGTACGTCCCAGGATAGTTCTTGGATGCCAGCGTSCCACTGTCTTGATACATCACTGTGTGCCCACATCCATCCCCTGCAGCAGGAGAACAAAAAGGAAGAGAAACAAAATGTATTCCTTGATAAAAAACATGTAAGAAAATACTAGCCACATAATCACRTCTCGTGCACTTTTCCCTTTTAAAGAAGTATTTTGTAATACTACACCTCAGTTTTGTTGCTGTTGGGACATAGGTAACTAAAATGAATAGTCACATTTCTCTTGTAAAGCAGCAGAAAGGAGGGTTGGAAACACTGATGGACCAGGGTGTATTGGACAGTATTGTACAGACAGGGTCTCTCTGGCTTTCTGCTTTGCAGCCAAACCCTACTGAAACCTCGATGATGCAATTCCACACGGAAGAAGCAGGATCTTTCCTTAAATAATTTTCTCCCAGTTATCAGTCAGCATTTTATCTCCATAGCAATCGCCATCAGAGAGTGTAACTGAGTCATACACAGAAGCACAGACATGATTTAACTGCRTACTATCACTGACCCAACTTATCCTATTTTTCTGTTTGCCTTGTGCCACCTGCACAATACAAACAGCACAGGGGATAAGGCGAAGACACAAGAAGGACTTCCAAAATGGGATGTGCAGTGTTAATGGTGCACAGGCTACTTGGCAGCAGCACACCCAGAAATAAAATGCTGCTGCCTCCTAGCCCAGGGGGTGAGGACAGGTGTCCTCAAAGTGTGTCTTCATGGCACTGCAAAGGAGGCAGCTCAGCTTTGGAACCTTTCCTTGGAGGGGAGGCATCTGAGGAGCAGCTGCAGCAGATCAGAGGACAACAGGAAAAGGCACGTGGAAATACAGGGGGGGATGTGTGGACTGACATGGAAAACAGGAAGCATCCACAGAGGGGGAAGGAAGCAGGTATCAGATAAGAGACCTTGACTACTAAAGGAAGCAATTTTTACTGAACTATTTAAAAGCATACTAGTAACTTAAAATTTGCATATTAAATCTTAWGCCAGTCTATTTTGCTCAATCTCCCAAATAATAGAAACTTTTTTGACAGYGAACTAGTGTCATACACACATGCATTAACAGTGTGTGCCCTGCCCCTCAGTTTCAGGGCAGTTAGGGCAACTCTTTTCGCAGGAATCTTGCATACTGTTATCCCTTATTTCGGCAAAACTGAAGTTAATCCAAGAAGTGTTAACAAAATAAAGAATCCCACAGAGCTGGGAATTAACAATGTTCACTTTAACTACCCAAAATTTTACTTTTGGGGATATTTTGGTTAAATTGTTTTGGTCTGTGCCATTTTAATTACTGTCTGAATTTCCTTCCAAAATCATTAGGAACAACAAACTTAAGGTTTGATAGGATTATTTTAAAATGAACAAAYAGGAATGAAGTGCTGAAAAAGAAACGTGCCAGACCAAGGGCTGGGGGGAAAGTGGCATGCTGTGCTAAGATAAGGTCCAAGCTATCCAACTTTGACTTGCTACCGTATAATTACACTGTCATGTCATCCAACTCACTCAACTGCTTTTCCACAAGCAGACACRTTTATTTTGAAGCTTTGGCATTACTACTAGCTTTGTGGCCTGCTATTTTTTTTTTCTTTTGTTGCAGATTTATGCTGGGAATAGAGGTGAATAGGAGATACAGATCCAAAATCATATCACCATAAAACATATTTRATACATTTTTTTAGATCTCCTTTTTCACACGCTTTAAAAAACATCTGGTGTTCAAGTTTTTTAACCAAGCACTGTTGATTTTAGGATGCACAGGAAGATACTCAAAATGAAAGACAAGCTGGCCTCATGAGCAAATCACTTCTTAATAGAAACTTTTGGCAGTGGAATGAAAATATAAAGAACTTTATGGTAGATGTGCTGTCAACTTTCTGAACAGAGAGAGGGGTCCACAGCAGTCAGTCAGTGTAAAACCAGATCACTTCCAGCAGGACACAGGACAGCCAGGATGTCTGTGTAGCCAACTGCTGTGCAGTAAAAAAAGAACTGCCCATGGCCTTTAATTTAAACTGCATGTTTCTAACTGTGAGCATYTATTTCAGCTGGAATAAAGAAACTACAATACTGAGTTTGGTTTGCAACTTATCCTTACTAGGAAGGAAAAGGAAAAACAAAGGGAAAGTTACAGAACCACATGGGGATGAGCTCCTTAAAATGGAAAGTCTAATGTTCACATTGACTTCATCTTACCGGGCTACATTCTGGCCTGCATCACCTTTGTACAATGCCAAGTCTTTTGTGGTACAAAATGTTGCTCAAAAAGGTGTGAAGACCTTGCTATCATGACAAGACCCTGATGACTGTCCAGGTCACAGAGGCTTATATTTCTACAGAAAGTGTAGAGGCAAAACTGCATGAGAGACCTCAGCCTGCCATCCTCCTCTGTCGAGGTCATACAAGGTCTTGTTCCCCAGGAAACTCCTTTCTTTTTTTGTTAAATCTGTCTTTGAGCCAGAGCATTAACACCAGAACATCTTTTGAGCTAAGAAAGCACAAATGCTATTTTCTGACTTTTCACTGGTGGAGCATGGCCATCCAAACACTCCAGCAGATGAGAGGAAGGCTCAGCATCAGCCTGCACCTAAAACATCCCTGGCTGTCTCAGTTCTGCCTGCCTGCCACAAAAGAAGAGCTAATGATAAAAGTTTGTCACAAGAACCAAAGTAATGTCCAAAAAATCAGACCAAGTCCTAGTAAGTATTGTTTCTTACAGAGAAAGCTGGCTGCAGCTCTGAATTTTGAGTTTCTCAGCAAGATTAAGATTTTTCTTTGCACTGAAATTTGCTGGAAAACACACCYTACAGAAGGAGTCAGAAGGTATAGAATGAAGGTAGAATACAGCTCAGGATCTGACATKCAAAGAGAGAATTCATGACTAAATGTTAATAAAAAACTCACAGATATAACATCRCTATATAACAAGAGCTCAGAAACAGAGGCAAGTAGTAAAGATTTCAAAGTATATCCCTAGTCACATTTTCAAATGTAAAATGTGAGCAATACTGCCATTAGTTTTGTTCTTATTATCTTCCACARGAAATTTTGATTTTCAGTAGAAGTGTGTTGGCCAAACTTCACATACAYTGACTGAGTTGAAAACACAACTCCTTGTCCTTATGAAACTATGGTTTAAACACCTGATGCCACACTCTTTTTTATAGGCACAGCTCTTCTGGATGGAAATATGTTTATTCAACCAGTCAGTTTGACACAGAATTTCTTGCTGACACTAGATTTTCACTTATCATTACTTTTGAGAACTGTTTTTCACCACCCCATTTGGCAAGAAGCTGGCAGACCTGCCTCAGACATCCAGGTTTCATCACTTCTCACCGGACAGGAGCAAAGCAACATATTTGAGACACAAGGTTCTCAACAACCAGGGAATCTCAACCTACTCAGATTTAATAAAATATCTCTTCAGGAGTTATTGAAAACACAACAAACATGTTTTGTAGGACAAGTTCCCACAGGCATTTGAATCAAGACCAAGATCACGATCTCTGAATCGTGGGCGACCACCTGTTGGCCGACATGCGGGTTGTACCAAAGATCACACAGAACTGGAATTAAGGCTGTTTACCAGAGATAAAAGTAATCTCCCATGGCAGATGATGGAAACGGCTCCCCAAAAAACAAGAACTACAACTGGCACCTTCTGCCAAAGCAGCAGGCACACCACTCCTGCCTCGCCCTTTCTCACATGGTGCTCCCCAAGTGAGCCCTGGGGCCCCACAGGAGACAGCAGCACATGTCCCTTTGGAGAGGACACGAGGAAAAGCCAAGTGGCTGGCAGCTATTCCCACCCTCAGACACACATTTAATGGATGCACGTGGGACAAGGTGGAGATGTATCTCCAAGCAGCTGTGGCTGACTGTGGCTGCTGGAGGGCCCCGTTCAGGGTCTMACCTGCCCAGTAAGGACACAGGGATGGAGTCAATGCCTACAAACAAGCTCTGGCCCATACTGTGAGCTGCTTGGGACACCTGACAGATATTGGGGCTTTGGCAAAATGGTGGCAGTGCCAGCAGCAGCACTGAGATCCCTGAAAATGCTGCTGGTTCCTCCAGGTACGCTCCTGCCACCTGGACTGACTCTCTCCATCCATCCCTTCCCCAGCCCAACACACCAGCTGAACCATGGTGCCTCACTCCTCTGCTCCCTGGGCTTTCCCACACCTTGGCTGCACAAACACGTTGACGTGCCCAACACCTTCATCCAAACACTCTGCACATTCCCCTCTGAGATACAGAAAAGGCTACAGTTTTTCCAATAAGTGCTATAAAAATTTCCATGTGCTGCACCCTTCAGAAACATGTTGATTTGGTCAACTACAAAACAGTAACGGAGTATGATAYCAAAGCATTTCCAGAAGCATTGCTACAATATCCTGGCAGCAAGCAGCTGCCCTTTTCATCCTTCTGATTCACCCTCACGAAGCGATTCATAACAGCCTTGGACTCACTCCAGCATTAAATACGTGTTACACCTAGGCGTGATCACGCGCTCAGCCTGCAGCTCCCAGCCCTCTTCCATTCCCTTGGACGAGCCTTGTGCAGCCCCAACATTTCCCACTTGGTTACAGACCACTGCTGCCTGATGCCCCTTGGCTGCCCACTCTTTCCACCAGGATGAAGTCCCCCAAAGCAACCTTATTTCCCTCCCTGCCTCCTCTCTCCCAGTTCGACATCCTTCTGAAAGCCACCTTCAAGGTGGTGCTTGGGACAAGGCAAGCTCCCCCTACTCCACATGGAGGCCAGCGAGCAAAGCTGTTGGGGGATCAGAGCCTGTCCTTCTTCCTTCCCACTCCTTCTTCCTTTGAAGAGAGCAGAAAACTGAGTTTGRTTACTTAAATTCTGAATTCAGCCCCCAAAAGTCCGCATTTTCTGAAGAGTCACAGCAGCAAATGGGCACAAAGTGAGCCAAGGGCAGGGCTCTGAGAGCTCTGATGGGAAGCCCCACAAGGAGAAGAGAGATTTGTCTCATCATCCACATTGCTTATACTGAAGTAATAACTCCAGCTTATTAAGAGCTACAATAAC